TAGCTACATGTATGAAACCCTGCTGCTCCCTTTCCACAGACTGAAGGCAGAAACAATTGGCATGAGTCAAGCCAATACATAACTGCAGTTGCATATTGTTTTACTGCATCGGCTGTTATCTTAACAACTCCCACTCCTGCATCTTCAGCACATTTTGTTAAAGCAAACAGGTCTGTGTTCTGAGAACTCCTGCACCAAAACTCTGTGCAGACTGATCTGATTTTTACAGCTGAGTTCCACACCTCTGGAAACAGGAGCATTCGTGGAAACGCAGACTGACCTTTATAATCACTGAAGTACTGCTGCAACACCTCTCCCAGAGACACCTGTATGGTTTGCTGAGCCAATGCATGACAATTTGGTTGGATTCTCTCTTGCTTTGTAGTTTCTGACTACAGATAGAAACACGGATGTGGAGCCCTCACTGAAAGTCCAAAAAGCAGACTGATAGGATCAGGAATAGAAACCCCAGCCCATGACTGAAACCATGCTACCATGGCTCACTGCCACAGCAGAAATATCCTGCAGTTTGCCAGGCACATATGGTATCATTTTCTGTCTTAAATAATCAGCCTTCTGAAACACATGCAAGGGAAAAATAACCCGTTTATGGGCACGTGTTCCTATCCTCTCAAACTTACTGAAATCTCATTCCTATCCCCGGATCCTCTCAAGTGCACAACTTCCCTTAGCCCAAGCCAGATGAACCAGCAAGAAATGCAGTGAATCAGTGGAGTGTATTTAATTCTCTTATGACAGACACGGTCAGGTGTTTCCAGCTATCAAAACTATTACACAGCATTTCTAGTCCAAATTCCATTGCCAGTCTTACCTGCTATCTATGAAATTAAGAAAATTAAAATACAAATTAAGTGGGCACTGTATGTATGGCTCTTCTGCTCTGCTGAATCATGTTCTCAGTTCAAATCTGTCAGAAGCCAATTACCACGGTCCTTTCCTGTCTCTCCCTAATGACTGCTGAAACACTTGCAATCCTTACAGATTGCACTATACTCTTCCCCACCCCTGAACTCATCAGCAGTCCAAAGGTCTGGAGCACGCGGTAAAGCAATATCCAGTCAAGATGTGCCAGAGCAACTTTGGATGCCGAGTGACATCTCCCAACTCAGTTCCTAGCAGCATTGTCACAACATCTATGTCTCATTTTCAGTGAACCCCACCTATCACTCATAGGAGAAAATGAAAGCAAAACCCACCAGAGTAGGCAGCTCCTTATGAAACGGACCAGCCAAAGGTAAAAATGAGGTATTATTTAAAGAGATCTGCCCTGTCCTTGGGCAGAAACGTTCATCCTTTTGCCTTTTTCTATTCACAGCAACCTAGCACTGAATTTTTAAGAGGGAGTACAAGGGAACCCAGTCCTGCCAGTATTGCCTAAAGGCACCACAGCAAAAAGAGGGCTATGCAGTTGCTAAGTGCGTTGATAACACGTTCAGACTCAGACTAATTTCTTTTGAGACATGTCTATTTTCTGCCCACACCCAGCCCTGCCTATTTTTTTTTTTTTTTTATAATCATGGGTGCCAGAGTGTCAGGGAATAGGAACGCATGGAGACAGGGCTTTATCTGGAGGCTAATGCTGCCTCATGTGAACCCCCTTTTGATCTTCCGCTTACGCTTCCAGAGAAACACAACGATTGTGTGGCTTCTGTTACACACTGCACAAACGAGTAAGGCAAGTGGCCTTTGGGAGCAGACACGGTGCTGCAACATCAATCAGATATCCATCGTCACCTCTGCTACACATCAAAAAGCAAGTTTAAAGAAAAATGACAAAGTGGGCCTGGGAATAAAATGAGATTAGAGGTTTTCAGCATTCACATCACATAGATGGATGAGTGTACACAAACACACTCTTCCAAATTTTAGCAAAACCATTCTTTTTTTTTTTTTTCACTTGAAAAACAGTTATGTTGTTCAAAGGAGAAGGCTACTGGTAGGCAAAATGTAGACCAGACAGAAGAAAAATCATTCTAATGGCTTCACTGTTAGCCTGGGCAATAAACTTCAAAAGGAAACTATGAAAAGGATTCCTGTAAGTAAAATACAATTTGGGTGTTCCATAATAATGTAACAGGCTTAACATAATAATTTAGAGAGGTTTTGGATTGGGAGAGGGGATGGAATACAACAAAGCTCTAGAACTTTAGCTAATATTCATTAGAGATGAGATTGAACAAAAAAGAAATTTTACTGCAAATCATCAGTGGCTTCATCCTTGCAATTTCCTTTTCATCAGCTGTGGCAGTGGTCATGGCTGGAGACATGTTGTTGGACTAGATGGCCCCCAGGTCAGCTCCACACGGAGCTGGTCTTGCATTCTTGCAAAATCATCATTTGAATAATTTAAATGTAGAAAAGACCAGACCCCAGAGAAAGCAGCCTGCCCCAGCAGAGGAAGGGATCCAGTCAGAATTGCTCCCCATCTGACACACCAACCTAGGTGCGCAGAAAAGGGTTTCCTTTTGCAAACAGCACTGTATTTACCCTTTTGCTCCTCTTTCTCACACCTTACTGGTAAGAGTTTTCTCCTGAATGCCATTACTTCCTAAATGCAGTGTAAATGCACGTTGCAGCAGCTCAGATTTGAGTTGCAAAAATGAACACAATGTCGGTTTTTGTAAAAATAGCTATTTTAAGAGAGTACTCTATCTAGGCAGGAAAGACATTTGCTCTAATGGACCCCCATGAAACTACAGTGACAATAAAAACTTTAAATAATACTGGCTACTGTAGCATTAGATTGTCCAAACATATAATCAGAGACTTGCTATTTCTCAAAAACCTATGATATAAATATGCCAGATGGAAGGACAACGGAAGAGCTGGTCAACCAAAAATCAGTGGCAGAGATCAGCCAGGATTCGAGTTTCTCAGACTCCAGCCTGGCAGCCAGCATAACTCCATCATGTGATTGCCTTGATCTAGAAGATACGCTGCAACTTTTCCAACTGTGGCTGTTGGAGAAGTGCTGCTCTTACAGAAACAGCCCTGCCTGTGAAACCTGTAAAACAAAATGGGCTAAATCCAGGTTCGTTTTCTACTGAGTGTGATGGGAATTCACTTACTTCAGGGCTGAATTTGCCACTTGATATTCCAGGTTTTACAGACAAGGAATTTCCCCCCGGTGTAACTCTGATGTGGATTTGGCTTGAGAGGAAACCGTAACACTGAAGCGCAGCTTACTTAATACAAGAAAAACCTTCCTTCACACACTGCCCCACCAGCATGCACAAACCCTAACTGGGACATTTCTTCATTAAAAGCAAAAGAAAAGCTCATCATGCATTATACAGTTAACTCCTGGCTTCACTTGAATTCATCTACCAACATGCCAGCCAGAACATTTGCAATGCCACTTCAGGATGTAAACATTAGTCCATGGAAAACCGAGCAGACAAACCTAGATTGATCTCAGCAAACTCATTCCTTGTTGGCTGAGACAGAGCTTTCAGTGATGACAACTCCTAAAAACAACAGATCTGGGATATATTTGTAACAAAGAGACAGCAAGTCCCAGTGCTAAGCTCCTGGGGCGCCCATCCTGTCCAACTGTCCCTTGCTGCTTGTTCTTCATAGGCTCACTCAGCGCAAACCGGCAACGAGATTTAATAGCAGACCAGAGAGACTGTATATTCTTTAATGTCAGGACTGTCTCTTCCCCAGAACAGCAATATGGTTTGAAATCTAGTTTACAGAAGGCAGAGCTGTGTTTATACTTGTCAGAAGTTACCCAACTTGGCAACGATTCTTCCCATCATGCAAGTGTCATCGCAGTCATTGCCAAACACTGCAGAGGCAGAGTTCAAAACACTACCTCCAAGCCTGTAAATATGTTGAAGAAACGTGTTGCACGATGCACATGCTATGTGTTTGCACATGTCTGAAAGTGTTAAGTAGTAGTAAAAGGTGGTGTTATGATTAAAGTGCAAATCTGAAAAAGCCTAAAACATGACCTAATATTTCCAGGGAATCTTTTGGAAAATCTCTGTTACTCTTTTTGAAAATACCTCCTTCTTTTCTAAGACTTTGGTTTTGGAATACTCCTCATGTTTTTCTAAGACTCTTTGCAATTCGCCCCTCTAATTCCCTTCCTTCCAGTCATGTACTATGAAAGCCATTTTGGTTGAGAGGCGCAGGGCAACATTTCAGAAAGAACACATACAAAATAGCACTGCAAGATTTCTGGAATGAGGCAGATCAGCTGAGGGCTAAACGGTCCCCATATGGGGCCAACATGGGCACTCCACATTACTCTTTTTTGTCCCCAAGAATAGAGGTGATTGAAGGCTTCCTTGTGCATGAAAAACCTTCTCTTGCTGATCAAATCCTTAGGAGTGAGGAGCGGGGTTAGTGTGACCTGCCAGGCTGCTGATTCAGAGGTATTCACAAACAGCAGCTCCAAGCAAGAGTGTGCAAATGTTGTAAGAACCTCAGCGCCTCAGGATGCTGAAAACTAGCTGGGAGGAAGAGTTTGGTCATTAAGGTAGTGGGGAAACACTTTGCTGCAGAAGTCGTTGATTCTGTTACCAAGTGAATAGCTGCACTTCCCACTTTCAGTGTAGACCACTCAGATGACAGGAACCGGGCTGGTTTGCCGCTCCTACAACTGCCTGTTACTCCATTCTGTCTCTTCATCCACACCATTTTCTGTCTGACACACTCGTGCACCCCTAGGCTGCATATAACCTTCTAGCTTGGCTCTGGGTTAAGGGAAGAATTTCATCGTGCTTGGCCAATCTGTGTTTCAGACAGGGAGGAGGCGAGATCCGCACACTCCCCAGTACGCAGGTCCCTCTTGGGCAGATGCGCTGCATGAAGAAGGTACCTGAAGGCTGTGATTTTTTATGTGCCTTAGCTCTCTACTGCCTGGCTCTATAACACAGCCTCTCTTACCTGAAAAGATGAGCCTTCATTACACAAAACAGCACAAATCAGGCATGCAGGCAACAACAAAATAACTCACATTAGTGTCAAGTCATAATGTGACACGGACTTGTGTAGCAAATGAAAGTGTCACAGGCTGGCTTCTCTTGTTTCCAAACACAGATGTGTATTAGCAGATTCTGATGGAAAATATGAACCTCACGCTGGAATTACTTCTTCATGTAAATCATGGTTTCGAAGGGAGGGTCCATCACAACTACTGGAAGGGGAAATATTCCACTCCCTTTTGGATGGAAAGAGAGATGAGTTCAGAAAGAGATGGTCCACTCTGTGACACAGTCAGTTAATCCCTGCCGCACGTTATCAATCCAGTTCTACTTGACTAATAAACATTAAAAATAAATATATTATCTTGCTTATGGTTTTAACCCCATTTTCAGGAGGCAACAAGCAGAAGATTTTATATTTTAATCTTGCAGTTTATTTTGTATTTTCCTTTTGGCCTATTATCACTCTAACAACCACCTCCTTTGTCTCAGCTCTTCTTAGAGGAATTAGCTGATGGAAGAGCAACATTCCTGTCAAAGAGTGAGCTTCATAAACCAAGGACAATCCTTTTCCTGTGAGCCAAAAGAAACATTCTCTTCTTACGCTTGGATTAAGGGAAATAGGTAACTGCCAGAGAAGCTGTTTCTTAATTATCTCTTCCCATTCCCCCAGCACCAGCAGCCAGCATCCCTCTTCAGCCTATTACTTAGGTGGAATTAAAACCCCAAAGGCTTACAGCAAATGCTGTATATCCTATAATGATCCCCATACCTAGCATCATTAATTCTTACTGGAGCAAAAAGGAACACTCCCAAAATTCTCTCTGCAGTTACTGACAAAACAAATGACTTAATGAAAAGGGAACATGTTGCGGGCACTGGTAGATTCTAGGTAGCCAGCTATCTCATGTAATGACCCAACAAATACTGGATGATGTAGGTCAACACTCCTCATAGGGTTTACCTTGACCAACTACAGAGATATAAATATTCCCTATGCCTTGCTGTTCCAGAATGTTTGCTTTCAAAGACAGGCACTTCAAAAGCCGCTATCTCAGGAAACCAAAGTATAAAGGACTTATTTTTTTTTACCCTTGCCCTCCAGCCTTCCTATGTCTGAGAGAATCAGCACAGCAGTGCTGTTTTGGAGTTAAGTGATGATTGAAGCCTACAAAAGGAAGATCTTCAAATGATGTCAGGGAACACTGATTTTTCATGTATCTTTTGCCTTGTAGAGATGGCTTTTTGATGCAAAGGGAGATGAAGTTAAATGAGATTTATACGTTTCCCAAAGGAAAAGGGGAAAAACCAAGCCCTTGGCAATCTCTGTCATTAAGGCATTCATGCAAGTTGGAACCATTGCCAAAGAAAGAGCCCAGCTCATTACCGTGGGAGACACCCCCAAAATCATACCTGTGTGTTTGTGTGAAGAACGCTAGTGATCAAATATCGTTCACATAGGCTCTCTTCAGTTTCCATCCCCAGTTTCTAAACTTTGGGATTAGTATGTATGTAGAGATGATTCTGATCAACAAGAAACATGTTCTGAAGTCTTATTCCATGGACACAAACCTCTTAACTTGCCGCCTATCCTGAAAGAATCATGGCTGTGATACTTTCTAACAGCAACAAGGAAAAGGATGGTGGTACACAGATGCTAGCAAACCTATAAATAGTTACAGCAATGGAGTCAATATAGCAAAAAGGCAAAGACATCAGAAATCTGCATAAAAAAGTCTCTAGATAATGGCTTTTTAAATTTGATTATTTAAATCTATGAACTCCAGCAACTTTTTTTTTTCTTGTGCACATCCAGGGAACAGAAGGAAAACTGGCAGATAAAGGAAGTTTCTGAGGCAGAAAGATGTTGGGGCTTTGTGTGTCCATTGCCTCCAGCTGGGAGGCAGGAACTGAGGACACAAGGACTGTGTGTACATCTCCTACATGGTACTTGACAGAAGCGCCTGGATGAGCGGAGTTTTCATGTCATTCCTCCTTTCTGTTCCCTGTACTGATGATCTGCTTCCACATCATCAGAAAATACCTGAGCGATGCAAAATTATCAGTGGTGACCAGCCTGACCTTGAGACACACAACGATAGCTACGAAATTCAGCAGCTTGAGGACAAAGTGGGACTGTTAAAGATACTTCAAACTCTGCACAGTTACCAAGTAACAATTTAATGTCTATCTTAAAATGACAGCTCTCCCCACAGAAAGTAGGTCATTTCTTCAACGTCAAATTCAAAACAGACAGGCCATAGCTGTGTTTACTTAAACCAGTTACTCTAGCTATCCGGCAGTTCCTATTGCTACATTAAGCTAAAAGTAATCCTTTGCACCTTATTCAAAACCCTTTGAACAATCCAAGAACAGAGGATGTGTTCAAATCATTCCTTTATCCCCAGGGATGATGCAGGGCTACATCAATGCTTCACATGCAGTCAGTGGATTTACAGGCGGTGGCACAGAGGCAAGGGCTGTCGGTGGGTGGCCCGGGGAGGTCCCCTGGGTGAGGGGTGCAGGGGATCAAACTGAGCTCAAGTCCCCCAGACTTCCTTCTCTGACCTAAAACTTCAGCTCAAATCTTCGTGCAGAGCCCTGGGCCACGCGCCCGGCATGGAACCGCCGCAATGGGAACGCCCTTTAGGAGCAATGGGCAAAAAGCCTGTCACCAAAATTAATGCGGCTCTACCCAAGCCTGAAGAGTCTCCTGCAGTGCAATTTACAAACAACCTCAAAAACAATTCTGGAGAAATGATTGCGGCCAGTGCACAAAGGGGTTGGTTCTCTCCACTGCCGCCTCCGCTGAGGTCAAACCGATACGCATAACCTTAACAAAGTTGGGCACAAAGCTATTCTGTACAAAGGTGACTTTTTCTTGCCCTCTGCAATGCTGCCTCAAATCCTAGAGAGAATTATTTGTAAGGGACAAGTCCATCAGAATGGTAGGGCAATAAAGGAAAGCACAAATGACTTAACTAAACCTTTCCTCTTGTCCCTAGGGCAATCAACTACATATCTCCATGCAGAGAACCCCCCCACATTTCTAAGCCTGGCTTTATAAGCTTTGGAGCTAAAGCTGTCTCTTGGGCTCCTAACCGTATAAGGTCTTCCCTTGGTCCTTTCCCTCTCAAATGGAAAACACTCCAACTTGACCTCTCGTCCGACAGCTCGCACGTTGTATTTTTATTGCTCTTGCACAAACACAAGCACTCTGCTTGCCGGAGTGCTAAAGACAGCCCACCCTTTCCCATCGTGGTGGTGGGCAGCTCGCTGCTGACTGTGATGGATCACAGTTGCTCTTCAGAAACTCTCTCTGATTTAGCAGGAGCAGCGTAATGTCAGCATACCTGAACAGGTCTGACTCCTCACGCCAGCTGATAAGCTTTTCATGGAAAGTTGGATTCTGTTAATAATTACATCTAGCTACACCCTTCTTATGACAAACACCTATTCCACCCTGTGTTTGCTTGACAGAAGATGACTAAGGTGATTTGCTTGGAAAGAAACCAACCACAAAAGAGCATTTTCCTCCTGCTGTCTTCATGCACCCTATATCATTAGTTTCATTTCCCTGTGCTGTTAAATGTCAAGTGCTTTTGTTATTTTTTTGAGTCTCCAAAGCAGACCAAAGGAGCTTGGAAACATAATCTTTTAATTGTCCTCAACCTCCCCTGCTTGGAAAAGGACTTTTTGCCTCTTCCATATAGTGCACTAATATTTTGTAACCTATGCATGATATTTCAGACGTGATTTTCCTCCCATATTGTGGTAAATGTGGTGCAGCTCCCAGTTAAGTCACCCAAGCTATGGAAGTGCATGTGAAAGGTGCCACACCACTACGTGCAGCAGTGACTGCAGACAGCCCAGGAAAAGGCTTTGATGTGCGAATGGAGGAGCCAGCATGGGAAACTCATGTTACTGGGCTGCTCACACATCCTAGGGTGGGAAATGAAAGCAGAGCTGTTTCTGACTTTTCACTAGCCACAAAGCTGTTTTTGCTGCTGGCTGAGCAGCAGGATCCATCCACAGATCAAGCATAACACCAATAGCAGCATGCCTCTTTCTTCTACTTAGACTTTGAAGAACCGCTGACGCAGGCAAGAGAACATTTTAGATCTTAGTGCCAACGCGGCCTGCAGCCTGAGCTGATGCTTGCCCTACACTATAGGACCGGGAATAAACCCCGTGTGGGTTACTTTCCAGGGCCATAGTTTGTCATGCTCAGAACCTGCAGGAGGATGGCATCAACCCTGCACCATCAGAGTACCCCAAGTCACCCACGATTCTGGTCTCTGTTTCAGACACACGGTAATTAAATCATTTCAGTGAGTCAGTAAATTACATCAAATCGACCTCTTGGAAGACACTGTGAGTACACAGAGAGCAGCAAGGACGCTATAAATCCATGCACCAGCTTAGCACACTCTGACTTCTTGATAAAGACAAGCTCCTGAACTCAAAGCAGTTGAAGCCGTAGGCTCTAAAGGTTTGCTGTCTTCCTGCTGTGCAACACCCAGCAATCAAGACTGCTCTCATGCAAAGCAGGTGCATGCATTTTCCTATGCAGCACTTTCAGTCTGACAGCACCACAGCAGGAGCACCTTCCCCTGCCTGCTCACATCTCAGGCTGCACAGAGAGGACACTGCTCCCTGCACTCAAAGGCAAGCTAGCTGGGGTGGAAACCAACTTCCAGATCTTTCCATTGCTGTCTTATTTCCAGATTGTAGCACAAGCAGATTTTTCATTTAATGTTAATTCCCTTAGGCCTCTGCTACAAAGACTGAGGTGGTATTTTTCCCTTCTTCCCTGAATGCTCTCAAACACTAGGCAAAAGGCATTTGGTCCAGATAAGAGAAGATACAAGCTTGATGTGACTCTGTAAATATCAGAATATCTGTGGGATGACAACGATCCAAAAAGATGAGACTGGGCCCTATCACTAGGTCAACCCAGAAGTACAAGCCAAGGAAAAGACCGAATCACAGCTATGGAATTTGCAAATCATGATTGTTTCTTTAAAAGTAGAGAGACAAGTACAGTGCAAGTAAAATAGTGAAAGGCGAAAAAAAACATCATACAAATGGAAACATGATCTAGAATTAAAAGTCTGTAGTCTAAATAAGGAGTGAACAAGTTATCTGCTGAGCTTCTGGGTCTCCAGAAATGAGAAGGATGCTGACAGTATCCACAGGGTGCCCTGCGGCACACAGAAAAACCACAGAAGGATGGCCCGGTGCCTTTACCGTGCACGATGCTGCAGGAAGCATTAAGACCCTGCTGATGAAGGATGCGACTGAAGCTGTGTGCAGCACTATCACTCCCTCCATTTCTCTGCCAGGCTGCAAAAAGAAAACTAAATGAGCTCTTAAACCATCCAGTCTCAGTCAGCCCTCCCCCAGACTGTTGGGTTTCTGTGGAAAGCCCATTGCTCCCTGGGGTCATTTTCATTGCACTTCAGCTCTTCCAGGAACTCAGACATGCTGACAGCAGTCCCTCCTCTGCCAGACGCCCAATCAGAGCACCGAGGGAGGTTTTTCTAAGGAAGCTAATTGAACATGTTTTATTA